GTTCAAAGTAGTCGTTTGATTTACAATTTTGTTTTCACTAGCAGTTGACACCGAGTTGCAAAGGGTTATCAAAAACGTCGTTTGATAATACAATTTACAAATAACGTGGGAAACTAATTACGCCCATACCGACCGGCGCAGCGGTCAATAAGTAAATAATTAGTTTGTACTTCATGAAAATATGCGCGACCGCTCGATAATAATTATTATTGTAATGTTGGCGTTGAAAAATACAAACGTCGCTGCAATTCGCACGCACAACGATTATAATGATATCGTGCACACCGCGTTGTTTCTTTTGGCCAAAGCGGTAGAATTAAACAAATTCTGCCACGGTACTACAACGCGTTGCCCCGGTAAGTTGAATAATATGAAAACGCACATCACCGACACAGGCTGTAGTAAAATATTGCAGAAACAACGGCGGAGCGCACATAATATAGCAACACCTCACGTCCGTCGTGGGTAAACATAATAATATTTATAACGATTGCAGAAAACTGTATATAAGGGGTAAACGCGCATAAATCACAATGTTATAGAGTGACATGTGTTTGGACGAAAGTGCGCTGGGAAGGGGAGAAAACGGCGAGGGAGCTTTTTTTTTTGTAAAAAATGTAACGCTTCATGATCGTGCAAATAAAAAACTAAAGGAGACTAGCAAAAGAAATATGAAAAAAAAAATACACAAAAACAAAACGATCTTCCAAGTCATTCAGCGCGCATTATTAATATGTATATCAACAGGTATACGGTAGTCGTCTGATCGCTGGCGTGTTGACCCAAAAATCGAACGCTTTTTCGACTGTATTACAACTCGGGTTGACGTTTTGGCAGGTGAAACTTTTCGAGTCCAAACTTTCGGCCAGCTCAAACGGACTGCGCATTTTGCACAACCCACAGTGTTTATAATAAACCGTCGCTAAACGAGTAAAACAACATCAGCTGTGGTGAGGCTTTTCTGTATGAAAAACGTTGGCGAATTTAACGCAAAACAGGGGTTTTGAAAAGAAAAGAAAAAATTTAAGTACATTTAATTCGTTTTTATATTGAATTTTTTTTTCATATTATTGTGTACAATGGACGTTTGACGTTGTCGTCTTCGTCGTTTGACGGTCCGGATCACGTACACGCACAATGGTCGTTGTACCCGTTAATGATGGTTTTATGAAGCTATTAAAACCGGAATATTATCTGGTGTATATGCGCGTTATAATACATTATTATATACTACAAGTAGGCTCGAACTGATACAAACGAGGAAGCGTATGCTGCCGGACAATAAACCGCACCACTGCGGCTATGATGTTTTATTATAGTTAGCGCGTACATCCGCTGAATAACTGATCCAATGTCATAAGTCGGCCGCAGCAACGCAAACGGTCCGAAATTTAATCATGTCCGATGGTGGAATCCTTCGATTCCATTTGTCTCGTGATAACGCCCCGATGACTAAGCGAAACGTTTTAAAATTCTATTAGAAATAAACGCTAATAAAAACAATCATTACGCTCTATAGAAATTGAATAAAAAATAAATAGTGTTGCATCATTACAACACAAGGATGACAACTACACAACTTTTTCCGACTGGTACATACCCGGTAAACATCATTCAGTTGTTTAGTGCTACCTTAATACACGTGTGTTATATTTACAAATAATACACGGTATCCCGTAAACATTTGACAAATTAAATACATGATATTTACTTTTCAAGTTATTTAAGTTTGTAGTTTAGGGTGGGAGGTGGAGTGCGGTTGAGTGTAATGCGCATTAGTCTATACTCCACCACCAGTCTTAAATTTTAACCTTTAATAACTAACAAAGTGATTACCCAAAACTGGTTATCGACCAGTCAAAATTCTTAGCAAATTATTCTGAATATATTGAAAAGAAAAAAATTTAACGAAAAATAAATAAATTTAAAAATCAAAATCGTCAAGTGTAATAAAAAAAAACGTAGTTTTTATAGCGTAAATTAGTTTTAAAAAAAATCTTAAAAATATTCACTAAAACAAGTTATTTCATTTGTCAAATCTTTTTGAGACCCCTTGTTATTGCAAAATTATTTATTTAGTTTAGAAATAACAGGAAATTACAATTTTGTTGATAAAATAACAAAAACAATAAAAAATTGCATTTTAGAGCTTTTTTATAATGTCTCAATTGTCTTATGTCTTCATTGAAAACAGTATCAACACCAACCTCTGACCACAGTTTATAGGGATAAGCTAAACACAAACCACCCAAGCAGTAAAACCAAAATTCCAACTGCAAAATATGTTTAAATCGTTTCCAAAGTTATTTGTTTGGAATTCATTCCATGTTTATTCAATTCATGTTAGGGAAATTCCAATGTAAATTTGCCAATATGTATGCAAATGCTACCTTTGGTATAAAAATATATGTCAGATAGTTATCTATATTATTACCTAATTTAAGTTAAATATAACAACATTTTTCGATATATTTCTGCTGCTGAATTCCCGTTCCTGTCTTGTCATCAAAAGTTTAATTTATATTATTTTAAAAGCTGTGTTCCTAATCTAATAGTTGTTCAACATCAGTGTAGTAATAAAAGATCTATACAAATAAAATAAATAAAATAAAAATAATTGGTATTCAATTTTTTTAAATTAATCAAACGATAATGTATTGTTGGTTAAATGTTTTCACATCAAGTGGCATTTCGAAAGAAAATAGTTCTACCATCAATCATTTTCCTTATTAATATGAAAATGTCTAATAATTTAGTTAGTTTTTTAAAAGGTCTCGAGTCTTTCTCGTCGTCATTTTAGACAATATGAATCAACAGCAATGAGCTTTTAATTTTTTTTTTTTTATGAACAGATTTTGCAATCCGATGCCAAAACCGTGGTTTATGGGACGTGTTACATTTAAGCTTATGAAATTAAAATGTATTTTGGACATGAAACAAAATACTATTAGCTACAGAGCCTTGGCCGGTATTTAAAAATATTAATAACAAGTCGCGTCGCTGGCAAACAGTCGTCTACCATTCAAGTTCACGGTTAGGATACGATGACCGTTGCTACAAAAAAAAAAATGAAAATTATAATATTAGTTATTTACTCTAATTAATGAGCAGAACAACTCTACTGTATTAATATTGATCGACGTTATTACACTCTGTCAATTCACTCTGCAAACAAATTAGAACATAATAAGTGTTTTCTTAATTAGAACGTTTTCCCTTTAATTGTTATTTTTTTCAACATCAATAACAATCGAGACGCGTATTGTCGGAGTAAAAGTTAATTAGATAACCGCTCAGTGTTCAATATAAAGCATAATATCCCACATAGGGTTTGGTCGAAACTATTGTTAATAAACTATAATGCCAGTATCGTTATTAAATGTATAATTTTTTAAATCAAACATTATTTTTGAAAGGAGCGTTCGGCTACACTATTACTACATATTATGTTAATCTGTAAGCCCATTTTCGGTCGTCTGATATATTTTTTCTGAATAATTATTACAAATCGTTTAACCACCGGCATTATGATGCAATGTTATCGGTCACGGTGATCGGGTTCAATGTTATCCGGCGCGGAAAGCAATAATAGTTGTACGTGCAGCTGCGTGTGCGAGCACCGGTCTTCGTCTGTGGTCATGACTTTGATATCCGAGCTACGATAGTCGGAACAATATTATCCGAAGATTATACTATTATTACGTAGACACATTAAACGACCAAAAAAAATAACTTCGAAATGTCGTTTTTGCGCCAATCCCGTCGTTTGGTAAATCGATTGCTTTTAGTTTATCAAAAGAACAGATGTAGTATAAATGCGATTGCAGTATGTCGTCTTTAGACTGCGACATTTGTTGTGTATGCCACGAATTTAATGCAAATATTTTGTAGTATCGTTAAAGTTTAAGTTAATTAAAACTGAAAACTTGCGTCGTTCAAATTGTATGTCTGAGCGCATAGTTTTCTAAGAGTGTGCACGAATAATATAGACAAAAATATGCATAACTGCAGCAATAATTATATTAAAGTTCAAAAATGTTATCCGCGCCACGCAGTTGAATAATAATTTGTTGTACATGGTATTATAATTAAATTAGAAGCCGTCATCCAGGTTCGATGGATCAAAACAATTATCTCTTATCAACGACTCGGCCAAGGAGCGGTACTAAACGTCGCCTCGAGGGGTAAACGGATTCCGCTTGTGACTGCATTCTATGTGCATGTCTAATAATATTGTCTATGCAACCAACATGTAGTACAATAACAATAATATCCATGACTTTTATCACGCAAATTAAACGATCAAACGTCCTACTAGTAATGAAGTTTAATTTGACAACGATAAATATGGGTATGATGTACCTCTTATGCCAAACTAATCAACAATTCTTCATAAGTCCGTGTAAAAACTAACGCGTATTAAAGTGTAAAATGTTGAATAGATATTTTAAAATGTTTAAAAACTTTCTTCCATTTGGTTGGAAATCGAAAAAAAATATGAAATATTATAAATTAGCTTTTATTGTTAACTCATTTATTGTCAATTAACCGTTTCGAGGCGTTTTGGGGTTTTTTTTTGACATCATTTAAAGTGCAATGTGCATTCCATCCAAATAATAAAAAGAGCATATTATATTAAAAGCGTCGAAGACATTTCTCGAATATTCAATCACGTTGGTCACGCAGTCAGATAGACGTCATTCAATAATACCTAACTTGGAGGGACTGTCATTTTGTGCATTCCATGTTACTTTTAAGCCCAAACAGTGGCCCGTATAGATTCACATACTATGCAGACATGTCATGGATAGATAAATATGTAATAATTTATCGGCTGAAGACAAAACAATATCCCAAATCACGCCACTCGCGGGCCATTGCAAATTATAGCGCGGAGTCGGTGCTCGGGCTAGGCAAAGTCGGACTTTATTGTTTAAACGGACACCTTGTGTGCCTAAGCGGTATCTCCTATAATTGTAGACTCATATTATCGAGCTCACCTTCGAACCGGTGTACGTGCATTCCATGCCCAGACGGTTATCCAGACGGTTGGGTTGGACGGTGCACACGCATTCTGGACGGGGACACCAGGGCCCTGTTAACTTGTTGAACTCCTGCTGCTGCTGTTGCTGTTGCTGACCGTCGTTGGTCCGGACCAGCACGGGCGGCCACAGCGCACAGGCCAACAGCAACAGCGTCCGGGCCGGGCATCCCGCCATGGCCGGTCTGCGTTCAGCCGCACATGTCCGGCGACGGATCAGCGCGAGTACGCACACCACAGCGCAAAAATTTATTTTTTATTTGTTTTAAAAAATAACCTCCCCCGACCACATAACACACCCCTACGAGACTCGCGCACAACACCGAAAAATAACCAAAAAAAAAACCGAAACCGAAACCTCAATTATTATAGGAATCGCGCACTCGACGCCGACGATATATTTTTTTATCCGGACCGTAGGAGGAGGCTGTTATAAAAATACACACACATGCACTGCACATACCACTCGGCGTGCCCAACAAGCGAACGACCGACGAACACGTACTGAAGAGAGTACGCGCTAGTCAATTGCGTTACTATTATTATTATTATTATTCGGATCCGTTTCTCCCACTCGAAAAACTGGTTTACACCCGTCCGCCGCGCCGCTGTATACGGCATGATAATAATATTATACAGCTGCAGTTGTTGTTGTCGCTGCTGCTGCAACTGCAAGCTGTCTGTACCCCGACGGCAGACGGTCGACAGACACTATAATGTAGGATCTTCGCGTCAAGTGCCCCTATATCGTTGTTTTTGTTACACGGTTCTTTTATTATTATTAATATTGTTATTGTTTTATTTGCCCACACGCGCGAGTACACTGTGTAGAGTTCCGTTAAACAATCGTGGATTTATCACCCTGTAAGTGCTTACTCTCTGATTTTTACTCGGTGGTCTCCGGCGAGACGACACTTAAATGGAGCGATCCACAAATTAGTATTTAACCCTTTTCGGACCAGGGTCAACGCCCAATACCCAATTTATGATTTTTTTTTTTAAATTTTTTACTTATCCACGAATAGTCGTATAAACCATTTGGTTGTTTCGATAAATTAAAAATGTTATGTAAATTGTATTATTTGGTTAAAAATAATGTACAAATATGCTAATTATGTCAACAACAAAAAATTGTTCTTCCAATAAAATAATCAAAAAATTATGAGTCTACGACTATGATTTGTTCAACTATTTAGTACAATTAATTTATTCAATCAAATGGTATATTTAACAATGTATAAACAATATAGGTGGTCCAACATTTTCACCAGCCCAATTTGCCCAAGAATGTGATTAAGAAATGTTTCAACCAAAATATTAGATTTTATTTTTTATTTTTTCCCGCTTATGGATTTTCATAAGCGGACTCACTTGTATTTCAACTACACATCATATTATATTCGTACAGTGGCGGTTTTGAAGGCTTTCGCTTGTTTGGTGTATTCGTATATTATTGTACCGATACTATTATAATTTGGGAGTACATCATATAGAATTTTTCTCAAAAACAAACAATAAAACCGCTTCCAGCTCGGATGATCCCTGTATTCAATCGACGAAGTATATTATTTTACTATAGCTTCTTCAGTAGCGTGGCCAATATGGAGCCACAAATAGCTTCAACAACTATACTTCAATTGTGGTTTCTTTAACTACGCCAACTTAATTACCGCTTTACAATTTATTGTTATAACCACACGAGTTGAAATTTTATTTGCCAATATGTTTTATTATCATAAATTATTTTTGAACATATTTTATTATTGTTACTTATAATAATTTTGGATGTATAGTAAACCGTTTAATTAATTTACAACGACATATTTTATGAGCATTTAAAAATAAATTTTGACCTTATCTGATGTCAAAAATAGAAACCCAACGTCCAATATTTTTAAATTGTTTAATTGTCATAGCAATCGTCTAATATTTATTGACGTTTATTTTCTTGTACAAGCAAATGATTGAGTAATTCTTTAAAATAATACAAGCAGTCAATTGATGAATTTGAATTGTCATAAACAGTGATCAAATTAAAATTATTTTTCGAGGGAAGGAGAGCAAATATGAAAAACTCAAGGCCCTTTAATATTACAGAAACAAATAAAATTTATCATATCAGTAAAACTAAATAATCGAAAAGCTGCAAGGCAAATAAATCAGTAGATACCGTAAAAGTCATTTCAGTCTATTGGCTGTCAACTTTCTCAATAGTTTTCTATTTATTGCTTTTACACGTGATTTATAATTTCAGACCTATTGAAAGACATATTAGGAATTGAACAAACATTTATTTCACTGGTTACAGTATAGAATCTATAGAATTTGTGCTAATAATATTTTGTATTGCAAGTGTATGAGCTCGGGCAAAATTAAAACTACTGTTCTGTGTTGTAATAATAATTGTATTTATACCACATAAATAAATCTCAATAATAGTACCAGTACATTTTACTACTGCAATAATATTATTTTATCTCTGCTCAGTAAAATTAAATTTTTATGTACATTTATAATTCAGTTACAAAGTAAGAAATATTATACATATTTAATTTGACTTTGAGAGTTTTACGGTGTATAATTTAGTATATAAATATACCGAACCAATGATCAGTATTTACTGATCCAGTTATCGTTAAACTTTAAACCACATTTAAAATCGAACTTTGGAAGTCTACAATTGGAAAGTATACACGCATACTAACCTAGTTTTAATAAATATTATATTATATTTAGTGCAATACCTATTATTACTGGTAATAAATAATGTGTATTTGTATTACAGTATACCTGTGGGCTATGAATGGGTACCGGTTTAATTAAACTGAAATTAGTACATATATATAAATTTAATAGCGAACATTCTTAGCGTTTCATTAAGAATAGAATATGATAAACCATTGTTATACGAGACGATTAAACAATTTTTGAAGAATAGATTTTCAGATATTACGACCGATCCGCTCGTGTAAACAATGTAACACAAACTATACTGTACCATCAGACATAGTAATATTAATATTGTTAGTAAAATATAAGAGCCGTCGATCTCATCCAGTTTTTTAAATCGCCACTTATGATATAACGATAACTCATAGCTATATAATTTAATAGCTTGGCATAACCGCTATTAAATTGCGTGTAAACAAAATATTGCTGATACTCACCACACAAACCAAAGGGTGTTAGCTTGAAGAAAACTGAAAAAATAATTGCCATCGTTAAACATAAGTCAATGCCTAATTAAGTACATGCGTTATTAGTTTAAACAAGATCGTGCGGTTCGTCTGTTAAACCGAAACATACGCTGTATATAATATTATGCCCAGTCTAAAAACTTAAATAGCTTTTTGATAATCTATTTAAATTTGAAACGTTCCATACGTGCGGATGAGATGAAAAGAAACTTTCCTCTATACGTTTTGTACGGCTATAATCACATTATATCGTCGGCTAACTATTGAACGTTGCATAAACTTTGTGTTTCGCGTTTTACATAGGAAGAGGACTGAAATGGGCTTTTCCTGATTTTAGTACCAAAGCGCATTATTATAGTTAAAACCAATAGTGCGCTGTGTGTCGTTGTGTACCGCGGTAAACCGACGTTAATACAACTACATTCAAATTTCTACGAATAAACGGATTTTGTGGTCCACAAAGACGGATTTCCGTAATTTAAATAGTTCAAGACGGTCATAGAAGTAATAACATTTTGAAAGTGTGTTTAGCGGTATTTTGAGGTACAGTACTCTTGTATTGGCGATATTAATTGCTTGGAGTGGTTGTCAAGTCGACTGAACTCGACTGTTTCCATCTTAACCGTTTTCCTTGTAAACATCAATAATTGGCCGACAAGCAAGTGGTGTTTTACTATATACTATATGGCCTCAAGAATTATAGCGATGCCGGTTTGCAAAATCGTAGCTAATATAAAATCAAATGGTTTTTAAACCACTCGTACTTATTCAGGCAACTAAAATAATTCGCAAGAATATCGTCGTCGAGAAAACGTTAAGCCATTTAGCAAAAGTTGTTGCTGGATTCAGCTGTGGTTCCCGACCATGGCAAAAATTTGCATTTATAATTTATTTTAATAAAATACTAAACAGCGACTATCGATTTGTGTATAAATTAACCGAGTAAACCTGTTACTCCTAAACGGAATTTGTTTGTAGTTATTTCGTCAAATTCTCTCTGTACGCCAGATAGAGATGAACATCTTCTCAGTAACGCAGACACCCATGTGCATATGTACACACTACATAGTAATAATTATAAAGCTATCGACGGTTGCCTTGGAGCATAATTGATTTTTATCTGAAATGAAAACGAGGATAAAGAATTTTGGGTACGAAAAACGGCTGCAAAATGTCGAAAGATTACATTGTCGTTGTATACCACAACATTAGTGCTATGATTGAGCACTGTTGATCCATTAGTGCCTGCCAAGTATACCGAAATAGTACAAAAATTATGTCGAAAATACAATCATCAGATATCGAATAATATCCATACAACACACGTCACGTAACGACAATATAGTTTAACTGGAATAATTTCCTCGACTACGGACATTAACCTATACACAATGCTCAATTAAATGCAAACGACGAATAGCCATTATAATTATGTTATGTTTACATAGCCATCGTATTGTAAAAATGAAAATAAACTGACAAATTATCAACCTTACAGCATATTTTTTTTATAAATTTGTTTTTCATCAATAGTGTTTTAACTACTTTACTATAAATAGAACATATTTAAGCTACAATAATTTTGGTATAGCTGATATATTCTAATTTACAACATTATTGGTATAGAATACATCTATAATATTATGATAAAATGCGTTATTGTTTACAATGTAGGCAAGTAGGACTTTGAATAATTCAATGGAATTTGTTTTAAACGCGTTTGCTGCAAATTCGTACGATGGCTAATGCTTTTTTAAACAGGATAGTTAAAATTGTAATAATCTCAGTCAGTTGTTTTAAATAAATATTACAGTTTTTAAAATTGCCCATACATTCTAAATAGGTTTGCACGTCGACAGATGGTATCACACTACAAATAATATCGTATTGTTAACGACCAATGTGCGTTTCGTGTATAAAGTTCAGCTACTATCAAATCTAAGTACTACAAATAAAAAAAATCATAGTTTTTTTATTATGCAAATGTTAAATATTTGCATATAATATTGTTTACGATTTTTATTTGTTTCCACAAACGTATCAAACAAGTGTACAGATAAGGATGCGATTGTGCGGATTCTTATCGTTACCTATTAATAAGTTTATGTGTATTATTAGATATACGAATCAAACCTTATGTAGGACGTACATATTTAGTGACTAATACACGTTACATAATTATTGACTTTTAACCTTATTTATCCAATTTTCCTATGTAAACTCATAGCCTTTTGAAATCAATGCCGCTTTGATAAAATAGTATGTGGCGTTCGGCCAAATAATGATAATTTGTGCTTAAAAATCTTTATATTTATCATTACTT